GAAAAAATGAAAGATTAAACGATGGACGAAAGGGTGGTGAGGAGAGGGGTGGTGAGATGGGGGGAGGGGGCAAGTGTATATCGAGAGGGATCAAAGAGAGCCGCGTTTGATAAACGGACCTCCGAGCTGAAATTATTTTCAGCGCAGCGTCTTTAATTAACGGGGAAATTTGCGATAAAAGTTATCGTGGCAACTCGTTTATTTCATCCCTGACACGGATCGCCACGTCGCCGATGTAACGTATTATACGGGCAAACGTAGCGAGGAAGATTCGTTCGCGGTGTAAAGAAGAGTGAGCTGACGTAACCCGTGCACGAGGGATGTAACTGGGTCGAGAAAGAAAGCGGAGGCAGTAAAGTGTGCGATAAACGGATAATAAAACGTCTAATAATAAAACGCGATATATCGCGTCGTTGAGCGATAAAAACACTGATCTAATTGATTCTTCATACTCCCTGTCGTCGTGTAATTCGCGCCGAGTAAATATCATTCTCTACTGTTGCAGAGACGTTTTACAACTGTCCAAAACAGTTGACAATGAATAATTAAAGGATTCGAACGATTATTTAAGCGTGGTGGTATAACGTGATCGTTAAATATCGAAATTTCTTTTACTGTGTTCAAATTCCGAATTTAATTTTCTCGGTTAGTTTCACTTGACGTAACGATTAAATTGCGAAATTTTATGCATTTTATATTTTAATATGCGAAACCTAAGTAGAAATTTATTTTATTTATGATATATTGCAATGCTCAAAAATCCACAGTTTTTAGCAATAATGGGAAACAAAATACTTTGCTTTAAGATCAATTGAAGATGTAAAGGATAAACTCCACGTAACATCTATAGAATTCTTCACACACTATAATACAATAACATGCCAACTAAAATTATCCATAATTCTTGGTGAGAATAGATATAAGCAAAAAAATACAAATCTTATTGTTAATTAATAAATTGAGGATATTCTATCTAAAATCCCCAGGCCAGCAGGACACAATGAATAAATCATTGAGCAATTCTCCTGTTTTCTTCCAGCCATAGCTGCTTCTAAATATTCCTTGTCTATCGTGAAATTATCTCCATAGTCGGGCCTGAAAAAATATTTCAATTAGACATGTTCATATAATTGTAATTTGAATGTGTTTAGAACAGGGAATTTCAAATTTTATTTCGTGATTTCCTTCCGTTTAAACGGTTTGAATAACAAATAAATTACAAATTAAACCATATGACAATTTGTATAATAAACAGAAAACAAATCAAATATTTAATATCATGAATGAACAACACATTAAATGCATAACAGAATAAATAAATAATAAATTGAACAAAAGTTTTGAATTAATATCAATCAATTTATACCCTAAATACATTAAATAAATTGATTAAATAAATTGAACAATATAGCAACATAATAAATAAATAATAAATTAAACGTGTAATGCAATAAATAAGAGAATAAATAACCAATACATTGAACCGAAAATTCAATTAATATCTGAAATTAATTTTAATTCATCTTTAATAACTAATTTTAATTAATTCTAGGCAAACAACGAATATTTGAGTTGTAAGCTTCGCGTGTTTCAAAATTACTGGAGAATTGTTATAATCAGTAAAAAGTATCTTACGTCAATAATAAATGCAGTAATTCGCCAACCAAACCCTCGTCTTTCAATGGCGTGGAAGCAGCTTCGCAAATATCCTTCTTCAAGCAAGTCTTTCCATCGATGTTTCGCCTGAAAACGATCGGCAATAATTAGTGATAAATGGAAACACGGGTACAACAAAAGGTATGGACAAACGTTGTTTATATCACGAATATTTAACATAATAACGTTGTTGATGGAATTAAACTTTCGCATTACATGCTGATGAAATATTAACGGTCTTTGAATTATTCGCGTGCCGCGTTAATTTATTAAAACTACCAACGACGATATGAATTAATTTGACTCGGGAGAACTATGTGAATTAGCTATTAACTACCAGATATCAATCACGATGCATAAAAGCGGCGAAATGATTTGTAAACATATCGATTCGTCGACTATTTAGAACTGGTGAATTTCACACACGGTGAATTATTAATTGTTTGTAATCATAGTACCGATTCGTCAGTATACGTATGTATTCGTCATTCATTTATTCGACGTAAAACGAAAGTAAATCGACAATTACACGCGGACAACTTTGCTTTGAGAAATGGATATATATTTTCTTGTATATTTTATGTTCTGAATGACAGGCAATACTTTTCAAAATAATTCATAAATATTTGCAAACATTTGCCGCACACGAAGAATATAATTTATGAATCACGCTTTTCAAAAAAAATTTATTTTCGAAATTGTGTCCTTTACTTCGTATTTCACATATATGAGATCACAACGATTTCACATTTATTTATTCACGTCGTTTGTTTATTTTTATTTACTTCATTATTTATCTTTAATCAAAACTGGAAACGATAACGCAGACGAAAATATCGAAAAAGACGGAGAAGAAAATTCAACAAAATTTATTTATACTAGTACGTTAATAAATAAATATAAGGAACATTGTCGCGTATTCAGAATCTGTGTAACTTTAACTGACAAATAAATTAGCTTGTAAAATGTTTGAAATCCTTGTTTATTTTTAAATATTTTAAATTTCCTAGAAACACATTGATAGCTATACGTACATGGGATTAATTAACAACTCTTTCCTCCATCTGATATTCGCGTTCCTCGTTTTGCGGCAAACATGATAAACAAAATGAGATACAACGACCCAGTGGAAACTGGAGACTTCGTGTCTCCTTTGGTAGAGATGTGATGTGAGAGAAAAAAGTAGTTTACTAAGATCGTACACAAAACCAGACAAAAACCGTGATTTTCTACAATTAAATATACTAACTGTCAAAGGACTGTCCTTCCGACTTTAACGCAATGTTACTCTCAGACTATCAAAGAATAAAAATCAAACGATTTCTTCCCAATAAGTCAATTGTTTCTGACCCAGTATCAGTTCTCTACTATACGCAATCTATACCTTATCGAAGTCAGACGATTTCTCCACTAAACTGAGCCGATAGAAAATTGCGAAAGTTTCCCTTTCTATCGGTTTCGAAAGTTTCTGGGCCTGAAAGTGAAGATAAATCGTTGACATTATTTTGTTCAAATATTCTCGAGAACTTTGTTTGAGGGGATGCAACGTCGACGTAATCAGATTCTCCTAGTCCTTTTGCTCGATTTTCTCTTCAAAAATAACGTGGGTCTCCAGCCGTGAATCGGAGCACCATACAAAGTGTGTAATTTATTCATTCAATGATCCACTGCGGAATGTAAAATAGAATAATAGGAAGTAGAATGTACTCACATGTCTAATTCTCGCTGCAGAATATCGTACACGGAAGCCCTTTCGTTCCAGCTTGCTCTCCTACGTCGTCGTCGTGACGAGTTCTCGAAATAGTCGGTGAAGAAGGTCGCGTTGTCTGGCAACGGGTATTGGAACTGAACGTTTTGGCCGTAAACCAAAATCTGGCCCGAGAGTTGCACCGGAACCCCCAAGCCTAGGACTAGCTTGACAGAAATGCAATAAATGCGCGAGTGTAGACGCTCGATGTATGACGAATTCAGTTCGTGGGAATTTGCATCAGTTTCACGGGGACGAAATCTCGTGCGAAGCAACTTTGTCGCAATACTTAAATTGCAGTAACGTGCAGTTGAAGTGCAAAGCAATAGTTAGCAGTA